GGGGGGGGGGGTGTTGGGGTTTTTTTTGCAGTTTCCTGTGAATCTACATTTATATCAAAATGAAAAGTTAGAAATAAAAAGAAGAATAGCACAGGGCCTGGCATGTAGTTGTAGAACTGAAACATATAGTATCTAATATTAAAAAAAGTCACTTGATGGGCAGGATGGAGATGACAGAGAAAAGGGTTGGTGATTTTAAACATATATTAATAGAAATGATCCAAGAGAAAAAAATGATTAAAAAATGAACAGAGCCTCAGGGACTTGTGGGACACTGTCATTAAACTGGAGGACCAGAAAGGGAGAGAGAGATACTGCAGAAACAAAATATAAGAAACAGTGGCTGAAACTTCTCCAAATTTCTTGAGAACCTACATTTTCAGTTTCAGAAGCTCAGAAAATTCCAAACAATATCAACTCAACAAAAATCGTGCCAGACACATCATAATCAAACTTCTGAAAAACAATGATTAAGAACAAATCTTGACTGCACCTAGAGAAAAAATGACATCATCAGTCATGGAACAACTTGGTCTATAGCACATGTCACACATTTTAAAGCCTGTAGGAGCTGGGTACGTTGAGTTGATCAGGGTGGAGCAGTGAGGAAGTGGAGAATGTGATCTGTTTAGAGCATGTAAAACATCTGCAGTGTCAAGACTTACTAAATATAGATCTGAAGGCAAAATTCAAATTATAGGACACCAATGTGTATCCCATAACTTCAGACTCACACAGCAGGATTAAGCCTAGGCCATGACATAAGCACAGAAAAACTCAGAGACTCAATTTTTAAAACAAATCTTAAGGGTAGAGATAACACAGGTTTCACGGCAAAAACGAAGTCCCTGTGTTAGGTTTCTGGAAACTGAGATGCCCTCAGACCCACATCTGGGCAAGGCAAGGAGACAGGGCAAGATTCAAGTTCATGACTAAGATCTTGAATGAATTTCTGGACGTCCAAAGAAAATCCACAAACGTGGGTGTATACAGAGATTGCTACATTCATCCATTCATTCAATCTATAAATATAAAGTGAGCGCCTACTAGATGCTCAGCTGCAGAGTGACAAATACATAAAGATTAAGTAAACCAAATGGTGGTGAATTCCATGAAAGAAATACTTGTGGTGATATGATGGAGAAGTGAGGTATGTATTCAAAAGAAGTGCTACTTCATACAAGGTGGCTGGGAAGGTCTTTCAGAGAAGGTAATGGTGGAGCTGAGAGGTGAAAGGCAATAAGGTGCCAGGAATAACTGATCTACAGGAAGGGCTAGTATCAAGGCCAGACAGAGGCTAGGACACTAGAAAAAGAGACAAATGTCTGATGTGGCCAGTTTACAGAGTGCTGGAGAGAGCGAGGGAACTTGAGGCTGGTTCACAGGGACCAGACCACGCAGAGGTAAAGTTCTGTAGAACGCAGAGGGCAGGCTCCGACCTGTAGGGCTGGGAATGGGCGACAGAGACATGAAAGGCTCTGGAGAGAATGTAGAAGTCACTGATGCTGAGAACAAAATCAAACGGGAAAATCATTGAGTCCCGCCCTGGAATGCGGGGCAGAAGCTGTTCACTGGAACTTGGGCTTCTATCTTGACTCAGAGCAAGACCTTAGGTGGGTTAGGGGCTGCTGTGAGGCTGGGGCTGGGCACTTGGGAGGGGACATTAGTAGTTTTTCTCCTGAGGAATGCACTCTGGGGATAAGGGTGCCCTGGGCATCGAAGTTTCCATTTTGAATACTCACTGCTGGTGGCAGGGGTCCAGTTGCGACGGTTATAACCTGCAGGTAGGGAGAAAGAGTAAAGAAGTGCTGTTGGATGGGTAAGATTTAAGGAAGGGGTGGATGGCAGACCTAGAAATGAAATTCATTAACACTTTTTTGAGATTCAAAAATGAACAGTAATGTCTACATTTCATTTGGTGCCCTTAGGTGCCTTGTCCTTTGAAAATAACGAACATCATCACCACTATTATTCCCAAAATAAAAGTAGGATAATAGCTGTCCCTACTTACTGGGAATGTACCATGCCCCAGAAGTAATGCTGAACTCACTACCAGGGTAATGGGGCAAAGTTATGAACAGGTGTCCGTTCCCAGCCTTACCTGTGTTCTCTCAAATCCATTAAGAGAATTTTCTCCTGTTCTCTCAGCTTCTCTCTCTTCCCAATATTTTCTGACAGTCTGATTTTATTTTTCTAGCTTAGTTTCTGGCTTTTTGTGACGTACAGTAGAGAAAATTACAGCAGCTTAAGAGAGTGGCACGTGAAGGTAAAAGTGTAGCGAGATGGAGAAAAAGGAATGTTCATGTGCTGGGGAATGTTAGAGAAATTTGGAGATGGGGTGGGAGAGTAAAGAAGAGAAGAGACTTGGAGGTCGAGTGGATGGTGTAAAACCTGGAGCATGAGAGAAATCGGGGAAAGAGAATTTTTCACAAGTGTTTCTCTGGGCTATGTGTTGCATCTCCTTTGATGCTCTGTGACAGGCGCTGAGTGAACGCTGGACCCAGAGGCGTCCTGGGATTTTGTTGGGTTATTTCTAAATAAGCCCATTTAATTTTCAGGACAATCCCTCCTGGTACGTATGTTTATTCTATAAACGGGACATGAGTGCCTGCAGAGGTTACATGACTTGTTCAGCATCACACAAAACAGAGATCTGTCGCTCACCAGCTCCCACACTATTACCCACCGCTTTAAGTCAGTCCTGGTGCTGGCGTTCAGCCTGCTACGGACACAGGGTAGAGTGTGCTGTTGTTCATACAAACATATATTTCAAACCATCTATAAAAGGAGTTCTAAGCTGACAAGGAGGATAAATAACGAATGAAGCACCAGGTTGGATTGCTGGGCTTGTGGTCATGAACGCCCCCTCCTGTCCTGAGGTTTGGGGCCTTCTCCATCTGAAGGGTCTGCAGGGCTGCCTTGTGGTTAGGAACTTGGCATTTAGACTCGATATTGGGTTCAAGTGTTGCCTCTGCCAACGCATTACGGCTGGAAGATCTCAGGCAAAAGACTTCCTACGTGAGTGAATGATGGATCTCTAAAAATGAGCATAATTACTCCCCTTGTCGTAATTCCTGGCACATGAGGACCTTTTGGTGAGAATTAGCCGTTATTAGAGTTATTCTAGGTCTTAGCATGGCCGTTAGGGGCACTGTGGCCAACAGTGTTGTGTAAACAGCTATGATTCATGGAGTACTGGCTAAGTGTGGTGCTTCATGAAGAGTCCCGTGAGTGTCGGTCTGGCTGCCCAGAGCACGGGGTAAAGTGAGGGCTGAGCTGGGCACCGCTGCCCACCGGCATCACCCACTTCTCTCCTGAGCCTGTGTGCTCCTGCTGGGGTCTGACAGGAGGAGGAAATATTTTTTCCCAGGTGGTGAAAAAGGAAAGACAATTGACCTACTGTGGTGTGTGAAGCACTCATCAACGAGCCCCCAAGGAAATGCTAGGTTTGTACCAGAACTGTGAATCCGTGTGCAGAAATTTCTCAACCCCAACACTGTGGACATTTGGGTCTAGATTAGGTTTCCTGGTGCGGGGCTGTCTTGTGCATTGTGGGGTCTTCAGCAGCGCCCGTGGCCTCTACCCACTAGATGTCATTAGCATCCCTGCAGTAGGACATGAAAATGTCTCTGTACGTTGCCAAATGTCCTGAGGAACAGAATCGCCTCCAGCTGAGAGCTATTGGTAGAGAGAGACAGGGGACTGCAGGAGGCTCCCGCAGCAGCGCAGACACTCACCATTGACATAGAGACTGTCCCTGTCCAGGGTGTAGGCGTCCAGCAGGGTGACGCCCTGGGTCAGCTGACTCAGCTCCTGGTACAGCTGGCCTACGTCCAGCGCAGGGCCCATGGGGTCAGGACGGTAGGTGCAGACGGCGTCCACTCCGGTTGTTGCCCCATCCTTCTCGGTCCTAGGGTGGCAGGGTTAGGGAAACAGGATGTTCAAGACATGACTTATATAATTTGTTCAGCTCTTTCCTTCGAATCGACTCGTTCCCCAAGTTTTATGATATTCCTCTTTATGGGTCTTGACTGGTTTTGCAAACAGGCCCCTTTCTGCGTGCTGTTCATCTAGGCACCTTCCCACCCCACCAAGTGGCCGATCTTCAGGGCTTCATCCTCAATCAACTTCTATTCTTATGGAGCCATTTGTTCCAGCTACCAGCTTTATTACCGTGAGGTCGAATCTCATTCAGTCTGCCCAAGGCCTCTCCCCCGAGCCCTATGCCGCGTAACCAACAGGCTCAGGGATGCCCGTCAGACCTTTCAGATTCCAAATATCTCAGACTAAGCTTATCGTCTTCCTTCCCGAAAGCACAGAACCTGCTTCGCCCCCCGTGTTTCCATATCCAAGCCAGAGCCAGAGATGTGAGAAGCTTCCTGAACCTCTCACCATCTTTTGTCCCCCATCCAGGCAATACCCAGGCCTGGGCCAGCATCTCACTGGTCTCCCCACCTCCTGTCCCATCATCACTTCAAAATTTTCCATCCCCATATCTACCAGTGTTCCACTTAAAATAAATGACATCACGGCAGGGCTCTGCTCGCAGCTCCATGGTCCCTGGCGGCTCTGAGCAAGCATAACCGATACTCACGGGACACCTACTAGTTGTGCCACCTTTACATTGGCTTCTCTTTTATCTTTTCAGCAACTCTGAGATCAATGCAGATACAATTCCCACTTTATAGTTGAGGAAGCAAAGTCATGGGGGTGTTAAAGAACTTCCAAACCTCACCAGGCTAGTGACAGAAACAGGATGTGACTTCATGCATGTGGACACGGAGACCATTAGTGCTCTGCTGTGCAAAATACTATGAAAACTCCCTAGTATGCCTTTAGCCCCAGCTCCAACCTGAACTCTGATGTTATCCACTTCTCAAAACTCATCCCACAACTGACCCACCACTCGAGCAACTACACTCCTGTGCACCCACCCATCTGGGCAGGCAGCCCCCTCCC